ACAAGGAGTAGTGTCATGGTCGTTTTTCTTTAGCAGTTTATGGTCGATCCTGTTAGTTTAGCGTGGCCATCTTCTACAACATCTTTCTCGTTGAGGTGGGAGTGCGCGACATGCATGCTCGTGATGCTGCTGACTGGGATTGGCAGGGGTTATTGCATCATCAGCCTTCGGGAATCTGAGCTTGCACGTCACTTTATGCTGGAGGCCCTCTCGCAMGTGCTTGAGCAACCTTTTCTCAGAACCTTGAGTATCTTGAGCGACTCATCTTTCCCCCTTACTCTTCGATCTTCTTGTGAGGCTTCTGGAGRGGAGGACAGCTAGCGGGATCCTATCCCGACTAGACTGTGTWTTGACTTTTTCCGTGGGAGCTCAGGAGCCCACGCGATTGCGGGAGCTCTGCTGGGCTCCAGGCGGGACCCCAGAGGCAGCGAACTGAGAGGTAGGCCGACGCGATTGGCGCTAGTTCCCGATTGACCCCTACATTGTATTCCCGTTTTCATACTCACTGAGTTTGATTGGCATAAATATGCCCTTTTTATTTTATTCGGGATTTAATCAGAATCCAATTAAATTAACTAGGCATACAAATAATTTGTTTAAGTTTGAGAAAGAACTTGTTTTATTTTGCCATGTTATTTGAATGGTTTGAACCTCCCCAAGCCTAGGGCTAGGGCCGGAGAGGAACTGGCCGCGTAAATGGTGAAGGGATGTTTGTCGGATGTTAAAAGAAGAAAGTTTGGTTTGTGATAACACAAGTCTCTCTTGCCTGGGCCAGGGCCGAAGAGGAACGGGCCCAAGTAATCGAGAGAGAGCGTCCTTAATCTGAGACAGGGAATGTATCTCGTTATGTTGCTTGTGGGGGATTTGGGTGTCTCTGACGTGGGCTGGGGCCAAATAGGAAGAGGTCCAGGTTGGTGTTGAAAAAAGGGAAAGTTATTATGTCATATTAACAGTCAAGCCTTCTCAGGCTTGGACCAGGGCCGAAGAGGAACAAGTCCGGGCGCTGCGAAGGACTGTGAGTTGACGTTGAAAGAAGAAAACACTGATGGGGATAACATAAAATTTGTGAACTTGGACGAGGGCCGAAGAGGAACAGGTCCGGGTTTCATGAAACAATATTTAAAGAAAAGGCTTGTTTGTTGTGCAACTTTTCATTATATGAGCTTCCCAGACCTGGACCAGGGCCGAAGAGGAACAGGTCCAGGTATTGTGGAGTGTTGTGAGTTGAATCTAAGATAAAGATTTGCTTGGTGTGTGAATTCCACAAGCCTGGGCTAGGGCCGAAGAGGAATAAGCCCAGGTGTCGTGAGAGAACCTTTAGTAAAAGCGTAAAGGAAAGAAAGAAGTATGTCTGAATGATGTGTGCAGATTGTGTGAGTTTTTTGGGCCTGGGGCGGGGCCGGAGAGGAACAGGCCCAGGACTTGTATTTTTATTAATTCTAGAATCAGGTGCATGACAAGGATGATCCCCTGGCCAGATGCTCACTTGATTTTTTTGACAATTAAGGTGTGTGTTGAGTTCATTCAATTTTTGAAAAGAAATAAGGAGCGAATAAGATACAGGAAACTGAAAGGCTAAGACCTCACACAAGAGCAGAAGATGAGTCTGTTTTCATGAACGAATCTTGTCGTGTTATGTTTGCCTTGTCATGTGCCTTGATMTTGTTCTGCCTTGTTTTAATCTACGCAYTGTAGATGRAWRGGTTAGTYTGTTAGAGCTCGCCGARTGCTTRAGCGATAGGTRATTCAGCTACCCACATGTCACCTGCCTTTGTACTTTTGCGTTTTGATTTTGGGACTAGCCTCTGAGTCGGTACAAATTCTGAGAGCTTACTTCTCTAAACGGGATGCTGCYGGAAKTTTTACTAATTCTAAGGGKTCAGTYGAAATAKGCTTGATATTTGGYTTAGGGTCATCCGCTCTTTGGAGTTTAGCAAAATACCTGACAGCGTACTCCTCTASGGAAGGTGCTGGCAAAATTTTTGCCAAAATCTAAAAGAGTTAGTCTAATCTMAGTTGTCATGAAGATTTGGGTCACTTCTTCTTGTTTTKATCTGATATAAATTCTGGATGAGTRATTTTCTGGGGGAGATGCTGCCAAAAGTTTTCCAAAACCCAGATTGATAGGGACCGAGTCCGTTYGTAGTTGAGACAAGTCYGTGTCCTCTTCATGATGCAGGAATTCTCYTAAGCAATRAGTGTTGGCGAAACACTTCATATGGATTGAGAAACTTCAGCTTCTGCTATCAAMTGATAGCACGTCGGTTTGCCACTCAACCTCCGCCTTCCTTGATACCCGCACSCAAAAATGCYTGAAGACCCTACGGGCGAATGACTTTCCCTCGAAAGGATGTTACCCCGCCTCAGAGCTCTTCTATGAATGGCCATGCAAGGAACAAATGAAATGATGTGGGGGTGGGTTATGTCATTGCCGAATAAGGGATGGGAGGGGGGTGCGTGGGACAAGGGAAAGGGGCAAGAAGGTTAACCATGTTAGCGCATGGATTGTGCGTTGACTGAATGTGTGTGCGCAGGTATGCATTTTGGGGGGCTTGATCTATCGTTTAAAAAGGAGTGAGTGAATCCACGCGACTGGGTGAGCAAGCCACACTAGTGATTGYGAGAAGTGGTCTCTCCKGATCTCCACAACAGATTCTCTCATCTGCCTGAGTTTGTTGGGTACTCGTGGGTGCGTGTGTTTTTTTYCCTTTATCAGGTAGGATGGGTACACTCGAAGCYMTTGCCAAGTGAGTTCGWGRCCCTTGTCCAGGACGTTGTCCTTGTTTGTCTTTAATAGTTGGACGAGAATGTCCACGATGGGAAGTTGTGACTGTCGTCTGCTGATGACAGAAAGCTCTCCCTCACACTATAACTYCGTTGAATTCCCTGTGCGAAGCATGGTAGAAYTGAGAGCAAGCRGTCACGCGTGTGCYCGTTTTGCGTYGGGGAGTTAATTCTTCAAGGCSCACATTATCCGACATTTGAGTGTCAAACGTGACCSGTGATACCATAAAATGGGCGCGTGGTTATGGGTACSACATAGTATGCGGTCATCTTGACCGCTTATGTTTTTACTCATGGCTAAATCGCTATGATTAGGATTTGTGCCGGCGCGTTATTCATGCGAAGTTCAGCGTCCGACGCCTACTCATTTATTCCCCTGAAAAGGTTATGGGTTAAACGGAACAAGGGACTAGGCGCGATTCGCACTATGATTTAGAGTTTTGTTAAAAATAAGGATCGCGTGGTTAGGATAGTCGTCCTAGTCGACCGACGTAGTGCCGCGCGTGAGAGATCAGCGCCTCGCGTGACGGCCCGCGTACGGGTCCGAGCTAGGCGTTGACCGCACGTACCCCCTATGCTACAGCGTACGAGAAATGACCTCGGCTGGCCCACCTCCGCGATTGCAAGAAAAAGTTTTCGCATGTGAGCTAGTAGCTCGGCGGGGATACGCCCACGTAAGGCATGGTGACAGCTCCCGCAGGTGGAGGTGAGGTGTACCTCACGAGGTCCTATCCTGTCGTAGGGGCTCGACGGAGGTATAGCTGGCGCACTCGGCCGAAGCGGCACCGCTGCTTCATAACATGCGTCCTAAAACGCTCCTGCCAATCCTGCGTGACGCGGCCGGAAGGGCCCCGATGCGCGCGACAGGTGGCGCCGTTGCCAGGGATCTCGGCTGCCTACCGAGGTCCTATGTGAGCAGATCTGGGTTTAGTGCAGGTCGATGATCTAGGCAAAACGACACTTTGTTTCTTATAGTGGGTGAATTATTTTTGAAATTTGTGAATAGCCGTTGTAGAATTAATGGTCGTAAAGCCTATGCTTGCGTTTTGCTGTTTGATCAGGCAAGAAGTAATCGTAGTGCCACAGGGGGCTTTGAGTGGTGAAAGGTTTACTTGTTTGTTCGGTGATGTGAGAGGTTGGGAGGCACGTGCTTAGGATTGATAGGTGGCTGCGAGATGTCCCTGTGATTAAAGGGCGTGAGGGTAGAGGGAGTCAGTGTGGTTATATGTGTCTGAAGAAAGGGTTAGAAGGCTAGGATGACTCTGTGAATTTGTATGTTCGCAGGGAAAAGTGATCGTCAGTTGACAAGATGGGGGACGAGGAGGTGATCGAGAACCATGAAGCGCCACAGTCGGCTTAGCACCCGGTTACAGCCGAGCAGCTTGCTGCGCTACTCGATGGACATGTGGTATCGCGATCCAACATTCCAAAGGTTCAAATCTTCCATTTTAAAGGCGATAAGGTTTCTGAGTGGTTGGAACTGCTCGAGCAGATCACAGATGAACTGCCAGTGGAAGAGAAGTTCCGCCAAGTGTCAAAGTATGTCTGGTGGGAGATGCGTCCTGAAGTTGGGCGAGTTGCAAGTGAGGCAAATGGTGATTGAGACGGTTTTAAGGCCGAAATGCAGAGAAGGTATCAATTGGGGGATGGCCTCCTCACTGTAGAAGATTTGGAGAGGTTGGAGTGAAATAAGTTTACGACAGTGGGCGCATTTGCAACGGCATTTGAAAAGCTCGCTAAGAAGGTTCCAGGATTGGCAGAGGAATCCCAGTGTGCTATCTTCCTGAGTAATTTCTCAGAATGCGAAGGGATGTCGCTCACGAAAAAAGGTGCCGCAGGGAGAAAGCTTACCTGGGAAACGATCAAGCAAAGCTTGGCGGAGGGGGAACTGGATCAAGTGTACCAGTTCCAGATGAAGCAACAGAGGCAAAAGCGGAAGGCTAGAGTTACCGCTGAAGCGGCAGGCATTAACCTTCAACAACTTATTGCGGATGGGATAGCCCAGTACCAGGCTACCCAAAAGAAGGAGGCAGCAAAGCAAGTAATGACGGTCAACCAACCGCCGACCAAGGTTGCAAGAAAAGGCAAGGCCTTGGAGCAGATAGAAGAAGAAGATGAGGATGATGAGGTGGGGGCGGAGCCTGTGAAGCTCACGAAAAGTTAACGGAAGGCACGAAATCTGGCCACTGGGGGTCAAGGTACCGGTAAGGGGACGGGAGTACAGCCTGCGGCTGCAAATCAAGGGAACATGGGTCAAATGGTTGCGAATGGGTTTTCGCAGCTGGGACAGAGCTCGTGGCCGGGATGCGCTCCACCTGGTTATTGGCCTGGATATGGGTCGTACGGTCCATGGCTCTTTTTTAATCAATTTGCACCAGGTCCAGGGGCCGCTTCGGCGCCTGCCGCAGGATGGTATCCCAGTGGGCCTGGTCAGGGACAGGATTGGCAAGGAGGGGGCCAACAGCAGCAACAGCTACCCCCGCCGCAGGCAAGCCAGCCCAACCAAGCAGTTGGCCGAGGGCAGGGCCAAGGCCCGGGAGGCGGATCGTAAGGGGGGCAAGGTCGAGGTGGCGGAGGCCGCGGAAGAGGTTATGGCAATGGTGGACAAGGCAGTCAGGGAGGAGGCCGCGGTGGCGATTGGAATACGTCAGGAGGAAATGATGATGGACAAGGAGGACAAGGGTATGGAAGAGGAAGGTTTGATTGGAAAAATGCTATTTGTCATCACTGCGCGCAGAAAGGGCATACTCTCAGATTTTGCCAAATCCGGAAGATGGACGTGGGGCAGGGTCTCATCTCCACCAATATGGATGGGGATGTCTATGATAAGTTTGGGCAGTATATTGACCCCAAGACACCGGGTGGCATGTGTAAGGAAGCAATCCGGCAGATTAATGAACAGCCTGCCCCACCAGCTGTGTTTCGCTTATGGCAAGAGGAAGAGGTAAGGTCCACAATCAAAGTAGAGGAGTTGGCCACCGACGGCTCGGTAAGAGGTCCGGAGAGCAAAAGTCCATTCTTAGTTCAAGTTGAGGGGGATGAAGAACTTGAGTGTGAGGAGCCCGCCAGCAAGGTCCTGGAGCGAGTTGAAGACCTCGTGGAGAAGATGCGAAGGCTCAATTTTAAAATGATAATGATTTGTGAAAAGGTGGCGAGGCCTATGGTCTATCTTTTGGGTTCTGAGGCCGGCCCGAGTGTTAAGCCAGCATGTACAGCCTTGGGGTCGTCCCCTCGATCAGGCATGACCTTTCGGCCACCTCGTGGGCAGCCTGCGATCCCACAAGCCGCTCGGACGAGGAGCAAGAAAGGAGACCCTAGTAGTAGCCAAAAACCTCCAGAGGAGGGTGAACCACGTGAGAAGGCGCCCACCATCAGGGCAGAGGGTGAGGGCGAGGATGATGAGGAAGACGAGCGGCTAAGAAAACAGGATGAGGAGCAAGCAGCGTTGCGAGCGAAAAAGAGGAAGGTAGAGGATGGGCCAGAGCGGACAACAAAAGGGGAGACGACGCGAAAGCAAAAGTACGCAGTCCCCCTGGAAGATGGTCTGGACATCGAGGCTTTGGTGGATCAACTCCTTGAAGGGCATAATGAGTTGTTAAATTTAAGGGATATTTTGGCCTCAGCGCCTAAGCTTCGAGAGGAACTTAAGGCTCGGCTTTCTCGCAGGAGGATGGCTAGTGTGCGGTTGGGTGATCTTATCCCGACGGAGGCACATTGGGCGGCTCCGGGGTCAAAGATGGACTGGAAGTCGATGGCAACTGGGAGCGTTAACTTCCTCATCAGAGGCAAGCCATGTGCAGGAATGTTAAATACGAGCGCGGAAATGAATATTATCAAGGAGGCAGATGCGCTTCGATTGGGCATGGACATCGATCGCACAGATTCATGTTTTCTCCATGGAGCTAGTGGGAGGACCCCTTTCACGGGAACGGTCTCAAATGTGGTAGTCGAGATCGAAAGGGTAAAGGTCCGGTCCTGTTTCTTCATCATGCCGGACCTGGATCGCCCCCTTTTATTGGGGCGATCGTTCCTTTGTCGGACCGAGTCACTAATCATCAATAAGCATAACGGCACTATGTACGTCATCCTGAGTGACCCGGTTTGCGGAAACTATGAGATTATTACCTGTCATAATACAGACCCTCATAGTTTGAGGAACAAGTCGAATCTCGGTTCCTTTACTTTTGAGGAATCAAAGGGTGAAAGGAGAAGGTTGATGGGGGAGGAAGACGAAGAAGGAGAGACGCCGGGAGAAGTGTCGTTGAGCTTAACAAATATCAACGATGCGATGGAAATAGTATCGGCATATGGTATGGCTGATCCAGTCGCGATATAAGCGCTAAAGGAGAAGATGATGGAAGGCTCGGATGAAGGAAAGGTGGAACTCGTCTATCGGTTGCCAGCTGGGGCAAAGGAATGGGGAGCGCCTCAAGGCCACACTACAAGCCAGCCTTTTTTAGGGGTCGACTCAAATAGGGCTCCAAAAGGCGGTACAAACGTGTAGGCGAGAAAAGTCACCCTGTTCCGGTATTTGTGACCGCCGAAGAGGAAGTGTACTATAAGCAGGAGCGAGAAATAATACGGCAAATGAAGGAGGATGCAGTGTGTGGGTCATGCCGTATTAACGAGCGGACGGAGAAGGTACTAACAGTGGGGGAGCCAGGATTCCTCACGCCGCAAGAAAGGGCCCTAATGGTTGAAGTCATGAAGGAAAGGCATCGAGCGTATGCGTTCGATGATGACGAGTGAGGGCGGTTAGACGTGGATAAGGTACCGATGATCAGGATCCACACAGTGCCCCATGTACCATGGAACTTGCGAGGAGCACGGTACCCTAACCCGGAAGATGAACGGAGGGTGGTGAATTATTTGGACAACAAAATTCATTCGCATGTGGCAGACTATTCAAGTGGGCTTTATGCATCCCCTTGGTTTTGTTTTATTAAGCCAAATGGGACATTGAGGTGGGTTCAGAACCTGCAGCGGCTGAATGCGGTAACCATTCGGGATGCTGGAGGATTGCCAAATGCGGATGCATTGTCCGAGTCGTGCGCGGGTAGGTCTATAATTTCCCTTATAGACCTGTACTCGGGTTATGACCAGTTTCCGGTATATCCGTCTGACAGGCCTATGACAACAATGCATACGCCAAGGGGGTTGATCCATATGAACGTTGCGCCACAAGGATGGACGAATGTGGTGGCAATGGTACAGAGGCATATGGTGCGTGTTATGCAGGTGGTCAGCCCGTATATCACGCAACCATATATTGACGACTTGGCTGTGAAAGGGCCCAGAAAGAAGGATGAAACGGAGGTCATGCCAGGAGTGAGGAAGTTCGTTTGGGATCACATACAGAGCATTGCTGAAGTTCTGTGTATCTTGGAAGACTATAACCTTACGGCTAGCGGACCTAAGTCAAAGCATTGCATGTGAGAGGCAACCATCCTAGGGTTCATTTGTGATGAGAATGGCAGCCGACCCGATGTAAAGAAGACTGACAAGATACTCCAGTGGCCTGTGTCATTTGAATCCATCAGTGAAGTATGTAGCTTTCTAGGGACGTGTGGCTTCTGGCGAAATTTTATGAAGAATTTTGCCGGGAAAACCGAGCAGCTACGGAAGCTCGTGCGAAAAGATCAAGAGTGGGAATGGGGCGAGAAACAGGAGGAAGTGGTGAACGGTTTAAAAGCGGAATTCAGAGAAGGTGGTTTGGTTTTGGGGGTTCCTGATTTTGAAGTGACGGCGGTGCGCCCATTTATTGTGGAAACGGATGCCGGACCGACTGCTTTAGGAGGAGTCATAATCCAAGCTGACGCTAATGGTGAGGAAAGGCCGCTAAGATTTGAGAGTCGCACGCTAAATGGTACTGAAAAAAATTATTTACCATTTAAAAAGGAAACGTTGGCGGTCCTCCAATCCTTAAGGATCTTTCACAACCACCTTTTCGGTAGGAGATTTGTGCTCAGAGTGGATCCAACCGCGCTAGCCTGTTCCTTGAAGAACTATGCACCTGCGGACCCTACTATTGCAAGGTGGCTCACGTACGTCTGGATGTTCGATTTCGAGTTGGAGCGTATACCAGGGGATAGGAATAGGGTCGATGGGCTCAGCCGCATTAACTGGGACAAGGCTAGCGAGGGAGCAAAGGAGGACGCGCCATCAGTTGATGCATTCCTCGATGAGGAGGAAGATGTAAGGCTTTATATCAACGCGTATGCAGTTGGAGTATGTGGGGCGGTTGAGCAAGGACGGTCTGCTTGGCTTGCCCCGGCAGGATATGAGAGGCGCGCAAATATAGTCCATAAGGCCTTCGTGGAGGAGGATCCTTGGGGAGGAAAGGATGTGGAGTGGATGGTCAAATTGGCGTTGGCAGAAACCTACCGAATGGACGAGAAACCTTTGATGATAGAAAATGGGCCTCAGTCACTGAGCGCGCATGCGAAGTATATTGGGGATGTAAGCTTACTTATTAACTCGCTCGTACAGGCGAGTGAATGTGGTGAAGGGAACCAGAGCCCTGTCAGGGATGGGGAGGAAGATGAGTTCGAGGAGGGCGAGATAAAGGAGGCCTTTCGTACGGACGAGTACGAAGGTGTGTATCGCGAGTTGGGTCTGCTTCTCTCATGTGAAATCCGGGAAAGAGAGGCGAGCCAAAACGTTGTCGAGATGCGGTCTCGCTTCCTAGTAAGGGATGGACACCTGTTTATGAGGAGCGAGGTTGGCAATCCGAGGAGGTGATTTGCGATAAAAACCGCCAAATTGATGTTATGGCCGCCCTCCATGATGGCCCGGCAGGTGGCCATAGGGCCTTTGCTCAGACCTACTCAAAGGCGTGTGAACTCTATTATTGGGAAGGCATGAGTCAGATGATTTGCAAGTATTGTGAGTCCTGCATACCCTGCCAGGAGCGGGCTTCCACTATGTATAAGGAACCGCTGCACCCCAGGATCGTGCGCGAAGCCGGCGCAGTCGTCCATTTGGACCTACTGTCTATGCCTTTGGGAGTTGGTGGTTATAACTATATTTTCGATGCATGAGACAACCTCACCGGGTTTGTTGATGGAAAGGCAATTCGTAGTAAGACAGGTGAGACGTTAGCCCTGTGTATTGCGGAGTACTATCTCCGATATCCCTTTGTGATAGAGTTCGTAATGGATAGGGGATCAGAGTTCACTTGCGGAGAGGTAAGGACTCAGTTGGAGGTGTACGGCGTCCGAGCCAACTACACGACTAGGGCGCACCCGCAAGCAAACTCGCCAGTTGAAAGAGGGCATAGCGTGATACGAACTTGCTCGCAAAATGGGTTGAAGGAAGGGTGAATCAATGGCCAAGGTACCTGCACGCTGCATTTTTCGTAGAAAATATCACGATCAAACGAACGACAGGGTACGCACCAGCGACTCTTTGGTATGGTAGGCATGCGACGTTTCCAATAGAAAGCTTTTTCAAGACTTTGAGACGTCAGGACCTGGAGAATGAGTTGTCTTTTGAGGAATTGTTGGATTTGAGGGCGCGGCAGGTCGGCACTACAGAGGAGCAGCAGCCCGCGCAGCTGATAGTCGGTTGCAAGATAAGGAGAGGTGGGACTGGCTCCCTCGTGTGAGGAAGGAGCCCCTGAAAGTGGGAGATGTTGTGCTGTTGTACGACTCATCGCTGGAAAAGCAATGGTCACGCAAGCTGGACAAACGCTGGCTTGGTCCATACCGGATTAGTCGATGTGGGCAGCATGGGGCGTACGAAATATAAGAACTTACCGGAACACCATCGAGAGATTGGGTGTCCGGCTCGAAGCTGAAGAAGTTTAAGGCCAGAGATTGAGGTGAGTCGCGATCCCTAGTGGACCATGTCATAAGCTCTATATTAGATCCCCTCGCACTTACTTCCTTCTTTCTAACTGTCTGGTCTTAGCCTTGGGCTGGTTAGGATGGTGAGATGCAAGTCGCAGCATGTCTAGGGTCAAGATGGTCCAGTCCTTTATAGCTTGGGCGTAGGCTAGTAGGTCGATCGGTCAGATTCATCTCTGTTCTTACCATACTTATATTAGGTGTGCCTGTTGTCTGCCCTTGTGGTGCAGGTTTGACTTTTCGAAGTCGGTCACGCTCACGGGTGAGGGGGTTGGCAGAGTGATATTTTCAGGAGCAAATTCCATGATGGCGGAACAGAGCGGACACCGACCGGCTTCGATGGGGCCATCAGACCCCTTTTCCTACGATGGAGGACACGTGTTTCCTTTTCTGGATACTGTGGTTGAGTGTGCTATGGCCCTTTGGTTGGGTCAGGCGGAGTTATTGGCGAGAGTCCGAGGCAGAGATGAGTACGAGGGGCCAGTTGCACGGTTTGCGAGGGATGCGTTGGATTGGAGAAAGTTTGCGCGAGAGATGATGACATTGCAGCCTCACCCGACAGATCATTGGGGGAGACCAATACGCTTCAATGGGGGCAACCTGGATGATTTTGAGGATGCCTTTGTTGCCTTTGGGGAGCGGCAGGGATGGAACGAGAGTCAGATGCACTTTCAAGTGCGTTTTTGGGTTGTGCCCCGGTTTGCAGATGAGGTAGACACCTTGGTTTTGGAGACGGCAGATTGGGTGGCCCTTATGAAGGCGCTCAGGAATGCCTTCCCGCCATGGAGACGACACCTACTCCAGGAGCTGACCAGAGACTGGGTACCGGAGTTCAAGGAGCCTCAGAGGACGTATCATAGAGAGGTAGGAGATGCAGAGAGGGAAGCTGAGCAGTAAGGGGGAACGACATGTCCTAGACCTCGGATGCGGGATGAGGTTGAGAGGCCGATGCGACGAGGGGTGGAGGGTGGTAGCGAGCGTGTACAGGCCACCCCGGCTGCAGGGAGCGAGCTACCGCAGGCTTCGCGAGCTCATGGGTCCGATGAGCGAGGGGATTTCCGGGTGCCGCAGACCAGACAGAAGAGGCCGCGTTTGGGCCATATCAGGGAGCCTGCTTCAGTTACGAGCGTTGAGATGACGGATGTTTTGTCTAATAGGGAGAGAGAGGCAGGACTTGCGTCTGAGGGTATGCAGATAGGTGCGAGGCCATGACATCATAGACATGATCAGACACGGACATCTCGGACTGCAGAGACCTCGCGACCATCACATCGACGGACTCGCCACTCCAGTAGAGAGGGATTTGCCCCACCAGTTGAGTTGGAGGCCAGGGAGTTGGTCAGTGGAAGCCGAGACACTATCTCCTCACCGGGCATTGAGGGAGTCCCCCAATGTCCTCGCCTCGAGATCATGGGCCCCAATGAGACATCTTCTGTCAAGCAGCCTCGGTTGAAGGCCATGGCGAGGAGGGCTCCTACAGATGAGAGATCCCACTCGGAGCAGGCATCGGGTGTGCCGATACTCATGATCAGGTATGGGAGTGGTGTGACCGAGCGTCGACCTCTGGGGGATCAGCAGACGGAGGAGCAGCCACGGAAGAGCCCATATGTGTCAATAGGGCCACCTTTTCAGGTGGAGGCGCAGAGGGCCGACGAGATGGGTACTGGAGTGGATCAGCCTTTTATAGCACAATCGTCAGAGCAGCAGAGTCAGGAGGGTGAGTTGCAGGATGAGACAGAGGATTTATTGATGGCACAGTTGTACTGCATGGAGCCTCCTATTGGGCGTAACCGGCGAGGCGTAGAGGGGGAGCCATCACCCATGGACAGGGAACAGGAGCGAATTGAGGAGGAGATTTTAGAGGTTGGTGGAGCCTGGCATGTGGCGGAGGGGTCAGCTTCGGACAAGGTAGCACCAGTGGTAGGCCCAGAGGAGATACCCGAGCATAGCGGTACACGAGAGGGGGTGACTGCTGAGGGTATTCCAGAGAGGGGTGATCAGCGGCCAACAAAGGTACTGACTGTTGAGGCCGACACGCCTATGGATGGGACGCAAGGATCAGCGGGACAGACATCTACCGAGATGGATATAGCGCTAGCCCAAGAATTAGCGCAGCTACCGCCTATGCTTTTCCCAAGTTGGCTTGCTTTTGAGCGGCTGGGCCAGGCATACCAGCAGGGCGGAGAGAGGATGGTCTGGGGGCGCTACATGCAGACATCGTTCGGCAGAGGGAGTACACCGCGAGAGGGTTTGCAGCAGCAAGTCAGGCGGCAGACGAGGTCAGGAGTTGCACTAGGAGGGTTGCCAAGAGGAGCTTCGAGTTGAGCCTAGAAAGGGCGGCATCATATGAGGTATTGAGAGAGGAGGTAGCTGGCCTCAGGAAGGTCATTGAGGAGAAAGATGCCCACACCCGAGCAGAGGCAGACGCTGCTGCGCAAAGACGAGAGAGGGCGAGCTAGGGTAGAGAGAGTCCTGATAGAGAGTACACCCGCTGAGGGCGCACCAGAGGAGGACTTGAGAGAGCATGCGTTCCTCCTGGAGGTCGTGAGAGGAGTTCGGTTAGAACATCATGTGGACCTTCTACGCGGGATACACAACGAGGTGGAGCGTGATACTACGCAGATCTACATTGAGGATGGAGCTATGATGAGGCAGCAGGAGGAGATCAAGAGGAGGCGACGGCTTAAGGGATTAGAGCCTATGGCCGAGGTCGACGTTGAGCAGGCCGAGGGGAGACTCGCAGCGGTGCTATTATCGGAGGCCTCGGTAGAAGGGTTAGTTGAGGTCCTACAGCATGTGAAGGGCCTTACTAGGCGAGGGCTGGACCATGATGAGAGGATTGAGGAGGGGGCGCTGAGGATTGAGACCCTCGAGCGCGAGTTCGACTATACGAGATGTCAGATGGAGAGGGTCATCACTGAGTGGGAGTTGGGGCGTCGGACAGGCCCGGGGCTTAGTGACCAGGCACAGAGACGGGCGCTTGATCCAGTTGGTCAGAGGGGGACAGAGGGTCGTCAGGTACCTACTGGACAGGGACCAGCCTCGCCTGAGATTGAGCCGGGTGGTACGAGAGTGGGCTCGATTGCGCGGGATGAGCAGGCAGAGCAGAGGCGAGGTGAGACTACTCGACTGAGAGATAGAGAGGTTATGGTTCCTGACAGGTTGATGCTCGAGCCAGAGGAGATTGAGTTACGGAGAGAGGCTGAGGACTGAGGCCTTCAGTGGACCACTCACACTGAGTTAGCTATGCGAGGGGCCATATGGTCAGAGCCAGCTGAGGAGATTCAGGACGGGGAGCGAACCGCTGACCAACGGGGGGAGATATTACAGGAGGGATTGGGAGAGCTACCCAGGGCCCAGCCCGCAGCGGACTCGCCCACAGTGTTGTTATCATTGTCGCCATTGGAGCACGTGTCAAGGTTTCTGGCCTCAGGATCAGACGAGCCAGTGAGTGACGCCGCCATTAGGAGCACTGGGAGGGGACTGAGTCCGGATACCACTGAGGGAGGGGTGGCGCAGCCAGAGGTTTCTAGTCAGCATGAGGAGGCACGACAGGGGGGACTAGATTGGCAGGAGGAGTCTGGACCGGAGGCCCCACGTCGGGCTACGAAGAGGAGGAATGATAGGCCGAGGGCTCTGCCGGTATGCTTCTTCTGCGATGACAGTCGGCATCGGATCGAGGGTTGCGCAGCCTTTCAGAGGGACATGGATATGGGCTTGGCCCGTAGGGATGCCTTAGGGAGGATCAGGGATAGGAATGGCACACTACTCCCTAAGATGCGACATGGTGGTAGGCAGCAGTTGTACATGCAGCTACAGATGGAGTTGAGGGAGGATTGACATCACTTAGGATTGCCCTACTGACTTGGGAGTGGCTGCCATTGTATGTGTGATGGGTATGTTTAGTTGGATAGTGTGATCTTGATTTTATATTCTGTTGGTTTTGCTGAGTTTAATTGTACATACTGCGTAAGTTTTGACATGAGTTAGTTGTGTATACGATAGGACTTTATACATATGAACCAGGTCTGGGGACTTGGTCGAGTGATTTGAGTTTGTGTGTGGGGGTTGAGTGGGATTTCAGTTGAGGCATGGGTGACCCGTGCTTTGATTTTGCCACGTGATTGTGGTTACAGTGACTGTTTTACGAGATCACGACTCATTTGAGTATTGCTAGATTGAGCGTGATGAGCACATGTTTTGAGGTGCCTTTTGCTTGGGTATATTCCATTGGTGTTGTCACCAGAGTTAGTCCCTTTCAGTACCTTTGCCTTGGGTGTTGATTTTGTATATACCTTGGCATGCGTACATTCTCCTAAATGCCTCTCGTTTTGAGTATATTGTCTTTGGGGGGGCCCAGTTACGATGAGACTTGTGTTGTGTTGTCAGGGAACCATGACCATTTTCACTGTGTGAGCTTGCTCTTGTCTTTTATGCTTTCAGGTGATGATGGATGTATGTGAGTGCATACAAAATTTTGTTGGATGATGGATGGTTGAAATGATGCCGACATTCTCTTTGTTTTGACTTCTCTTAGCTGAGATCTTTACCTGTGCATTGAAAAAGTGGCCAGGCCATTCAGTGGGCCAAGAATTTATATTGAGGAGAAAGGCGTACCGAGAGGCCGCCTGCTTGGATTGAGATTGTGCATAATTGAGACCAGATGTTTGTCAAGAATTACCATGGATAACCAAGTTTGAGTGGAGGAGAGGAATGTTTGTGGTGCTTCGTTTTGCTGAGATTTTGTTATGAGACCCCGAGGCATATGACTGACCATACCCTGATCAAGTACGGTCACCACGGCCCTTTAAAGAGCCGGCCGAAAGGAAGAAAGTGGAATGCCTAGCCGAGGGCTAATTCGGCATCGCTGGGATTAACCCCCAGCGTGGGCTGCTGTCCCGCACAACCAGGATGGTGGACCCCCAGTCTAGCCTGAAATTAAAATCCGAAGGGAGGCCTGCACTATAATCCCTTTACCTGTAGTATTATGAGGTATAAATTTCGTTATTCGTGTTGAATTTATTACCATTTTTATCATTATTATATTATTATTATTATTATTATTATTATTATTATTATTATTATTATTATTATTGAGAGTATTATAGCCCTATTATCAGGCCTTTCGGGAGGTTCTAACTAACATGACGACTGGTGGGGTACTTAGGTTTCAAGTCAGGGGGGTCGCCTCATCATTGTGTATGCAATGTAGGCAACGTCGCCAATCACAATGCGATGAACCGTGGATTCGGCCTGATCAGTCAAACCATGGTGAGCCAAGCACGAGACAATGAGCCGCCTATAACTAGGTCCCAAAGTGGGTTCTTGTTGTTAGGGGTTTGGACTGCATGGAGCGTGAGGCTTGCAACAAAAAGTATTGGTTGTAAGTTTGAGCTACCAAGAGGAGTGTGCTACTTGCAGGGCTGCAGCTTGCAAGTTTGAGCTACTCAGTGGGTGTGCTACTTGCATCAGGTATGGCCGACGTGAATTTGATGTTACTTAAGGGAGTGTGCTACCTGCGGGTTTGAGCTGCTCATGAAATATGTTACCTACGTTAGCGCTATTTGCAGGTCAGAGCTACCCAGAGGAGTGTGCTACCTACGGATTTGAGCTACTCAAGGGGGGTGTGTTACCTGCGTTTAATTGGTACTCCAAGCCGCCGACTTTTTGGCAGTTTATCTCGGTCGGAGCCCGTGCCCAAAGACGAGGACTTGCATAGTCCGAATCAGAAGGCGCCCAACGGGAACCGGAGATACCTAAAGACGGAGGAGGGGGACTAGCCTTCGAATATTGGGCAAACCGGATACGGTAGTATCAACGAGAGAATCCCTGTGAGTCAGACATGAGGCGCAAGTTAAACTCCTGCCCGTTGATGGGATGCCACAAGGCTAGGTTGCTAGACCCTCGACGACGTCAATCCGGTTAACGGGTTTCGTTATCCATTGGCTGATTTCAATGATTTTGCTTGTATGATACGAATGACTAAATGGTCGATGCGTCGGGGATGTCGCATAATAGGGTCTTGGAAGACTGTCGTGGCAAACACCCTTACAAGGGTATTTGCCGTCATTTGTGCAGGTCACGGAATGTGTACCTGCGATGATGAGTGGGATAGTGTCGTGCCCATTATTTTTTCTGCGGGACTCCGGCCCGAGCCGCCGTAGTCGGGGCGGTGAGGGTGAGTATGGCTAGGATTGGAGAGTGTGCATGGGGCACGCATTATTGCGACGCGCGAGAGATAACTAGGCTACCGTCGACCGTATGAGTCGGCGGGGTGATTTATGGGCCCGCACAGCGGTGCGTACGAATGGCAGTTTTGGTTGATTANCGAGAGATAACTAGGCTACCGTCGACCGTATGAGTCGGCGGGGTGATTTATGGGCCCGCACAGCGGTGCGTACGAATGGCAGTTTTGGTTGATTATAAGTGTCACCTGTATGGCACGTGCGTACACTAGAAGTACGCACCGGCCCTTGCTACGGCGCATGCCGTGACAGATGGTTTGGCGTAAAACTCGACCGTCGGCCAAGGGTGTCCACGAGGCTGTATATAGCCGGTGGGCTACGAGGCCCGGTCCGGTGTAGGCCTTGTTTGATCGGCGCGCGGAGGGTATTTTGGCGCGYGGCTGCCGCGTCCGCGGCTCCCTTTTCGTTGTGTTTATCTTATTAATCCCGTTCCTTTTTATTTTTGATTAAATTTTTGGTTTCTTTTTTATTTACTTCTATACAATAATCGGGTCCGGTTAATGGGATCCGTTATTAGTGGAATGGGCAAGTTATGCCGACGAGTGTCGCGTATGTGCGGAATTGGGTTCGGTTCCCTTACCAATTTCCGAACCGGTTTTCATCCCTAACCCAGCGAAATATAGTCCAGGAACAAAAACCCTTCCGGCGTTGAGAAAGAATACTTGGAACAGTTGATGGCCAATGAGAGGTTAGGAAGGTCTGCCACCTCACTATTGGCACAGCAACAAAGTTAGGACCGTCCGATTCCGCCACTATCTGCGGCTATAGTGGGGTTTGGCACACTCGGGCCTGAGGTTGGTGCTATTCGTAGAGATCTGCGTTGACCCACTCCGGGCATGGGCTTGGCCCAGTCAAGTGAGGGGTTCGATTGCYAGCCAGCGGACCCCGGGGTTGAACTCGGTACGCGGCAGCAGTGGAGGAATGTGGAGTGAACCCGCAAAAACTGGGGAAGCGGGGCTTATCTTGCTCACCGCCCGCGGACCTGGCTCAGCTGGTACACTTGTAAACTGCTGAAAAATAGACCCAAGTTCGGGCTCCGCTGGAACAGATGGGTGGAACATTGTAAAGTTGTGCTTTGCAGGGGGAGGCAGGTCTTGTTTTGGTTGCCACCCCCTCGGTTGGTACATCTGCAAACTGCTGAAAAACAGGCCCGAGTGCAGGCACCGCTGGATAGAGATGAGTAGGCAGGGCCATTTCCACAGCACTAGCAGTATCAGCAGGCCTAGTTCAGCTGGCACACACACAGACTGTGTAAAACAGGTCTGCGGGATCGGTGCCTGTGGACCCAGTTTAACTAATACAGCGCTGGACTGTTGAAATGCAGACCCAAGTTC